CTCAGCAGAAGTGAGGGTGTGTGTTTTTATTTTGTACAACTCCATTCTCAAATCTCGACTGTAAAGGAATAGTCTGACATTTTGGGATGAATCTTATTCACCCTCTTGCAGAGAGTTAGATGAAAAGATTGATAGCACTCTCATGTCTGTACATGAGATATGGCATTACAGACAGCAGCGGGTTAGCTAAGAATTAAAGAAGTGAGACATAACTTGTTATTTCATGAGCTAAAGAGGTGCTGGTAGGTGTATCTGGACAGAGCTAATCTACCAGTTTCCCCCTTTTTCCAGTATTTGTGCTAAGCTAAGCTAACCGGCTAATGACAGTACCTTCATATTTACTGTACCAACACTGAAGTGGTGTCAATCTTCTCAGCTAATGCTGGGTTCACACTGGAAGCAGAAGCACCACGTGGAGTGCTGCCCGCTTCCTTTCAGCAACCATGTTAACAGATTGGGCTTTTCTGTGGTGCTGAACTCTGCAGCCAGCTCGTGATCTGTGGTGATAGTTTCTGTGTCTGATGTTTTTCCTACACAAGCTGTGAGCCAATCTGGCAAGAATGCTGATGATGCTGATAATCTATTATGCAGAATATAAAGGATGTATTATGTATTACATAAATGATCTGAATCTTATAAATGATAGAATATGCACCCCATACTTAGTTTTTCCACATATTTGTCAACAGAGAGCAAGAGAGACGAGCACATACAGCAGAGAGCAGAATCGTGTCCTGCTCATTAGGGAGAAATGCGCTTCAGGGGCCACATGTATGAAACTGTGTAGATTCACTACTAAAACTATGTGTACTCACAAAATGGAAATGTGCACACGTATGCTTTTCATCACATTCATAAAGCTGTGTGTCACTGGATTCAATTTTATAAATCTCAATCATTGTGGCGCTGGGTGCACATGTACAAGCCTTATTTCTACACTCACAGTCCGTCATAAATGGATGTAGAAATGCCCTTTAACATGTATTTTTATATCGATACTTGTGCCCCTCCACCACTAATAAGACCTGTCAATGAGAAATAAGGCACTTAAGTTGCAATATCACCACTGTGTCGCATCGGAGATGTTTTTCAAGAGTGTCAGAGCAGCTGTCATTTTGCATGGCTGTGGCTTTTTGTAGAGTCTGTACCAATAATTCATCACATTTCTGCAAACCATCATCGCAGTAAATTTTCAATCATCATGATTCTTATTAAACATCAGAGGGACAATTGGTATTTCATTCATTTAGCTTCCATGTTGAAACTGACTTCACAAAGTGTGCCACAATGATAAAATTAAATGTTCATTAACCAGGACATGAATGTAGATAAAAACGAGCTGTGTCTTGATTCTGGGGCTGCAGCCTTCGAAGGCCAAATTTGAAGACAGATTGCGTCAAATCAGCATGACCGAGACTGTCCCATTTCGAAGGCTCCGTCAAATGCAGCCTTCTTTCCCAGAATTTGGAGGATGCAACGGATGAATCCTTCGTGGTCCAGCCTATCCCAAGATGCATTGTGCGCCGGTGACGATTATATATTAAGTTAACTAACAGTTGTCAACATTACCGTTAGCAAAAAGCACACAGCTTAAACAATCTTAATTTAATAAGTTGACCTGAAAACAGTCCGTCAGCCTGAAATATATCAAACGGTGGTGTCTCCGGCAGTGAATCGTCTCCTCAAGTATCAAATAAAAAATATATATAATAACAATCTCTGGGTCCATGATTTAGAGCTAACAAACTTACTACCTTACTCCTTCGTTTGGAGAGCATTCGGTTTGGCTGATGCGGTCTTCAAAGGACATGGCTGATGTAGACCACCAAGGCCGCGTCCTTCAAAGGCTGCAGCCCCTGAATTTAGACACAGTTAATGAAAGAAATCACTCATAAATAATTTTAAATCAACTTTATAAATTCACCTTTGACATACAGTGCAATAAAATAACACAGTAGTGAAACTGACTAGGAACCTAAAAGCAGTGTTATCTGTCTCTCAATTTATATGGTTTTTGTGCATATTTATCATTAATGCGTCTGGCCCTGGTGTGAACAGCCAGGCCTCTGCGTCCAGTGTGAACACGGCCTAACTCTGCCTGAAAACAAATAAACCTGATCCCGAGTTGTTTTAAATGTTTGCAAATATCCACAAAGTATTAATCCTTCTGTCTTTCACAGGTTCCTTTGGAAGGATATCGTAGCCAGATTGCTGGAAGATGTGGATGCGGTGGAACTATGGGATATTTACTCAAATAAACTCCAATGTGAATCAGATCTGTGGGATAAATCCATCTGATGAGCAGCGATGTCCAGAGTTATGTTGCTGAGAGGAAGTTGGCAGCTTTTCACTCTGCATGATGAACAAACATAATCTCTACGAACTGACTATGAACTGTGATGAAAAAGCTCCAAGACAATCCATCAATTTATGGCTCTGTTCTGTGATTAATTATTATTAACTGTTTCTGTCTTACTTTCTCTACCTCTTTCTCTCTCTATCAGACTTTTTTAATGTCAGAAAACAAAACAAATAAATAAAAATATCAAAATATTAGTGCTTTTTGTTTTGTTTTGTTTTGTTTTGTTTTTTTCAAATGTCTACTTTAAGGTCAGGGTCGTGTTCGTTCCCCTTGAGAGAGCAGCTGCGAGGGAGCACGTGATGACGAACTACATTTCCCATAATCCCACAGCACCGTAAAGAAGAATCCATCCATGGCTTTAAACAGCCGACGTCGGCTCGGAGGTCGCAGGATCCCCATGGAAACGGAGTGCGGGAGAATAATGTCGTCCCGCTCGGACAGGTACACCATCCTATCAGTATTTTCTACCTGTGTTTGAATTCTTTGTGTCAAAATGTGATTTTAAGTTTATATTGAGTGCTGATCCGGTCATGTAACGCTAACCACACTGACTCCCCCTCTCTTCCTCCTCCTCCTCCTCTTCCTCCTCCTCCTCACACAGCAGAAACAGACGTGTATCGTCTTTAATATTAATATTATTGAATAAAAAGCCCTGTCTGTTGGTATATATTAATGATATGTACAGTGTAGAGTCTGAATGGAGGCTGTAGCTTCATCAAATGCGCTGGAAGCATGAATCTCTTCAGAAGTAGGTGAGCTGCATGTTGACATCAGTCCTGCGTCACAGGCTCACTCATGAGAAACCTCTGGAATATCCCTGAAATATACTTAAAGTTATACTTTAACAAGGCAGTTTTTGACACACAGGGTTTTTTTTTTTCAACATTATTGTTATGTTCCAGTTTTCTAATATAGAGTGACCTTAAAAAAATAATATGTCCAAAAGCATGCAACACTCCTAAACTATATATAAGAATGGGATTCCTCTTCCTCTTAACCTTCTGTTAAACATATTTCCCAGTCTGTGTGTAGCTGCAAATAGACAGTGTTAGAGGAAGTATTAACATCAGTGACAGTACTAGAAGAAGAAGTTTTTTGGGGCTTTATTATTTGTAACCCACACAAGACAATCTACAAATGTGTACCATCTACGAAGTAAATGTGCTTCACTACCTCCGTTACCTTCCACCACCACCACTGCAAACTGCAGATACAAATAATAAAGTCAGATACATTACATTACAATGACTATACTTGACATTTGTGGGTTGTATTTCCTACAGATTTGTTGCAGTAAGAATTGAACAAAATTATGCAAACAAATGGGAAAGAAGTCACAGGAGGCAATCCTCAAATGCGTAAATATGACCTCACGTGTATTTGCTATGGCGAAACTCTTTACATTTGTAAAACCTGTAACATTTTTATGTGAAATTTAAGTATGTGTTTACAGAGTAAGTTATGCGCATTTGCAAATCACGCTGTATTTTTGTGGATTTGACTTCACACAGCTCAAATGTAAAAAGTCATGTTTATTGTGGATCGTGGTACACATTTGTAGATTGTCTTGTGTGGGCTACAAATGATTAAGTCCAATAAAAACTAATTAACTTTTTCACTCTGTTGTCATACACACACACACAGGCCTGAAATACACACATGCACAAACAGGACCTATACATGCATTAAATGGAAAGATGTCAGAGCGAGGGCGCTGCTCATGGACAGGCGCCCTGAGCAGTTGGGTGTTTGGTGCCATAGGGTGCTTCGGCAGTTCCTCAGAGTTGAACTGGCACCTCTCTAGCTACCAGTCCCCACTCCATATTGGGTCCAGACATCACTTTGGCCGGTAACCCTCTGGCTCCCAACCCAGGTCCCTGTGGACTGAGCTACTGCGGAAGTCAAAGCCCTTAATTCAAAATTTTAACATATGGTAACATATGTACATAAATTCTCAAAAGTAAAAGTGCTCCTGCCAGTGTGATGTTATCATATTGCATCTTTAGAGACACTTTAATATTGCATTTGGTTGAGTTGGTTGCGTTTGGTTTTGGTTTGGTTTTTGACTCTGCTCTGTGATTTTACTTGGTCTTCCACTTTGTGGCTGAGTTGTTGTTGTTCCTGAACGCTTCTACTTTCTAATAATATCACTTACAGTTGACTGTGTATCCAGCAGGGATGAAATTTCATGAACCATCTTATTGCAAAGGTGGCATCCTATCATGGTACCACACTTGAAGTCACTGAGCTCTTTAGAAACCCAAGTGTTTGCAAATGGATACTGCATGGCAAGGTGCTTGGTTTTATATACCTGTGGCAACGGGTCTCATTGAAACACCTAAATTCAATCATTATCAGGTGTGGCCAAATACTTTTGTCTTTAAAGTGTATTTCAGTGTGGCTGTTTCTCTGGTGTTGTAGAGATCTGTAGAGATCTGATGAGTTAACTAAGAGGAAGGATCAGCTGAAAGCGAACGTCTCGTCCTGCCTTTGCTTACAGGTGCCTCTATTAATACCAGCCAAGCAGCTCTTTGCTCTCAGAGTTACAGTGATCCTCTTAGTGTCTCTCACACACCCACAGAGGGGAAGGAGGACACATGGACATCAGCACTGAAGAAGAAGTAGTCTGATTTTTCATATGATCGTTTATCCTCCACAGACACAGATGTGTTGATGCATGCAGTAAAAGCAGAGTAGAAACAAACCTGTAATTTACGCACGTCTACAACTTTCGGTCAGTGTTACCACGGTGACAGGCGAGCTGGAGGGTAGGAAGTTGTCATCTGAGGCAGATATGACTCTGCTGGACTGTGCAGGAGCCAGAATCTCTGGCTGCTGGTCCCTGAGATCTGACCGCAGGTAAGATCTCTGTGTTGTTTTCTCTCAGCGCAGACGGGATACTAGTTTTCATCCTCACAGAGCTCACAAGCACACTGTGTAAGTGTGTGAGTGGGTTATAAATATAGTCTCTAAAAAGAGGTTGTTGAGAGGTCAGAGGAAGTGCAGGATGTAGGTTAGTTTGCAGGGATTTTGGTGTGTTTTGTTTGTGCTCAGTCACAGTGGGTTGCCTGTAGTCTCTCCTCAGTTTGTGTGCACGTACAGTATGTAGCTGTGCATCACGTACAGTAGGAAGCAAACAGAATCACTAATTTAATTTCTAATTACTGCCTGTGGGAACGCGGGAGTGCCTCAATGTGGCAGCAGATTGTGACGCAACAGCTTGGCGGACTTTTACTCATTCCATAGTAAACATTTGTGTGAGAGCCTAATCGTAATTACAGGGGTTTAAACTGTGATTTGTTGGTTAGAGTATCAAAGAGTGGCAATAAGGCGGTGGTGGAAGAAGTTCTCAGATCTGTTACTCAAGGAAAGTACCAATTCCACAATGTAAAAAAACACAATCACAAGTTACAGTACAGCTTGAAAATGTATCATCGGGTAAATGTACTTACAGAATCAAAACTAAAAGCACTCAGTATAGAGAAATAGTCCATGTGTGTGTGTATGATATATCTAATGATACAGTATGTGTTCATTTTGGGCAGCATTTTACTCTTGGTTGTGGTGGAGCTAATTCTTAACAGTTTTATATAAGGCTGCAACTACTGCTTATTTTGTCATGAATACATCTCTTGCTTATTTTCTTGATGAATTCATTGATTGTTTGGTTTGTTAAACGTAAGAAAACAGTGACTAATATCCATCACAGTTACCCAGAGCACAAAGTGACACCTTCACAATGCTTTGCTTTGTCTGTCAACAGTGCAAACCCCTAAACTATTCAGTTTACTGTAATTTAAGACAAGTAAAAAACCAAAATTGCCACATTTGAGGAGCTGAAACCATGAAACGTTTGACGTAAACGAGGAATCGCTTATTATAACATATAATTGTTTATGGTCAAATTGTATACACTGTTTGTTGGTTTAAATATAATTATACAAATAAAATATTTCCCTCTGAAATGTAGTATAAAGTGTCATGAAACAGAAATGCCAAACGTACCTCAGATGTGTATTTAAGCATGTGGATGCCGCCCACTGCTCAGAGGGAAACTCATAAACAGTCACTCAACAATGTGTTTGTGTGACATGTTTTCTTCTTGCACCGCAGGTTTTGGCATATTTGAAACTGCACCTCAGCACTTTAGTTCAGACAGAAATATGCAAATACTTCTTTCAAATACTTTTCTTGCTTAAATGTACTCTACACACACATGAAATAAGAGTTGCTGATTATTTTTCTCTCATTTGACCTACTGATGAATCAACTAATTGTTTCAGCTCTGTTCTGTACTTCACTGCAGTTATTTGTCCTCTTTATATCTGTTTAAAATCTAAATCAAAGCTTGACATGTGCCACTCATGACCTCATATCAGTCTGCAGTTTCAATAGTTTGGAGAAAAAACATCATCTGACAAAATATTTTTAAATCAAGGTCCATTTCAGAGGTTTTTCTGGATCTTTTAATCAAATCTCACGGCCTTCATCAGCGGAAGGAGTTTGCTTAGTATAGTAGCGATACAGTGAGGAAGCTCTGATGAAGACTGTGGTTTAAAGCTTGATACAGTAAGTGGACCGTGAGTTAGAATTATTTGTCAAACCCTTTTCAAGTTCATCATACTCAGTGTTTAGTACTTTTAGTACACATTTAGTGTTGTATAATATGGAAGCACAATACATTCACTTGAGAAAAAATGCTGTTTATTTAAATTAGCAAGATTATTATCTCATTAATTCAGAAAAACAAGCAGATTTTTTCCATAAAAACTTTTCTCCAAATTCTGAGATAATAATCTCGTTAATTCAGAAACGCAGGGAAGTTTTTTAAAGTGAATGCCCAATCGCCAGAAGGAAATGACGGCACTAAACGATTCTGCAAACCATGTAAACATTACATTTGTACATTTTATACATATATCAGTGTTTCTAAAGTGTTGTAGTGCTGATATCGGTTATATTAGCTGAATTTGTCGTCGGGAGGTGGAGGGGATGGTGGATGGTGAGATGGCTGCTAAGCTGCAGACTAATGTTCAAGACCAACAAGCAACAAAACTGTTTTTTAGTGAGACGTCGGCGGCATTTCCAGGCTATTATTGTCATACAAAACCTGAGTATTTTAAACCTAAATATAACACCTTTCTACCCATAACCATGTGATATTTGTGCCTAAACATAACCATACATTAACCACAGTCAAGTCAGCTTTATTTATATAGCACATTTCATACGACAAGCAGAAACTCAGTGTGCATGAGATACAGACCAGACATGAAGATAATAAAGTATTACATATATGAAAACAAGCAGGACACGATGAAAGCAAACAAAATAAGAAGGTATTATCATTATTCTTAAGGGGAGATAATAGCAGTAATAATGATACTAATCCCTAAAAACAAATGAAAATACACTTAAAAACCTAACAAAAGCTTGGGAAAAAATATGTTTTTAGTTTGCTGTTAAAAGAGAACACTTGTAGCAGACTGTTGGTCATGTGGAAGAGAATTCCAGAGTAAGACCATAATGACTAAAAGCACCATGAACTGATTGAGAGTTGATTTTTGGTACAATGAGTCGACCTTTATTAGATGATCTAAGGGTTCTCTATACTCTGTGAGCATAGGAAGGAGCTAAACCATTAAAACATTTAAAAACAAGAAGTATTTAAAAGCCAGTGAAGATTAGATGAAATAGGATTTATGTGGTCAGACCTTTTAGTTTTCGTCATAACTGTGGCTGCTGCATTCTGAATAAGCTGGAGTTTATTTAATGTCTGCTTTGTCAGTCCAGCAAAAAGTGCATTACAGTAATACAGTTTACTGGAAATGAAAGCGTGAACCAGCTTTTCAGAGTCTGACCACAGTGTTGTTGAGCGCAAATGTTACATATCTGTAGTTTGCAGAAATGTAGAGTGTCGACATTTATTTTGGCGCCTGGATTGGAATGCAATAAGTGTAAAATAAAAACATGATAGCAGAGGACTTTTATTTTGACAATATTTAAGACCTTTACATCATAAATTGGTGAATGAAAATGAACCATAAAGCAAGAAATTGAGTGTTTGATGCTCAAAATTTTCTGGCGAAGGACCCCAAACCCTCCATTTCACGTGTCCAACCAAATGTTGAGAGGAAACATATGCCCTTGCATTACACTCCTGTATTGTAAGACCTGGGTTTTGTTTACAAAATATATCGTTATGTGTCGTCAGACTATCATCAAAGATATAAGAAATGATAAAAGAGATCTGGCAGCATACAAAAAGTACATTTCACCAGATCTCTTATGTGATTCTTTCATCTTGTATCTACACTGTGTTTTTAATGTGTGAGTGTGGCAGTTATTTGATCCCTCACACAGTGTAACGCTCTGACTGTGTACACTGTGTGTGTTCAGGCTGTAACCTGCCCCGCTGTGTGTTGTTTTGCAGTGGGAGTGGGGAGGACTCGTTGGACCGGCTCCTGCCCCCCGCTGGGGCCCCTCGCAGGAAGAGCACTACCTCACTGAGTAAAACTGAGCCTCCTCTGCTCCGCACGGGCACACGCACCATCTACACCGCCGGCAGGCCGCCCTGGTATGACGAGCACGGAGCGCAGTCAAAAGAGGCCTTTGTCATTGGTATGACGCTCGCTGATAATGTTCTCACTCCTTTCTGCTTTCACCACCTTCGTGCCAAAATTGTGGCTTTGAGCTGCAGAACCTGTCCTTTTCTGTCCCCTTATACCCATAAACACTTTACTGCTATCACACATGCATACCGCCAGACAACATTAGACACACTCTGAAAAACACACATAATGGGTCATTGAAATGCTGTGTGGATCTGCAGGGTTGTGTGGGGGCAGCGCCTCAGGGAAGACCACCGTGGCCAATAAGATTATTGAGGCTCTGGATGTGCCGTGGGTTGTGCTGTTGTCTATGGATTCTTTCTACAAGGTGAGAGGTTCATGCATCTTAGTCTGTTTTTGTCTTATTTTATTTGGCTGTTAGCAATTATCTGCTGGTTCATTGTGGGAAGAAATTAATGTCTTTGGGTGAAGCATTTTATTATTACCTCCGCCAAGGACGTTATGATTTCAGTTTGTTTTTTTGTGTCTCAGCAGAATTACAGAAAAACTACTGGCCCGATTTTCATGAAACTTGGTGGAAGGGTGTAGCATGGGCTGAGGAAGAGCCTATTAAATTTTAGAGGGGATTCAAATCACAGGGCAAATACACAAATTATTTTTCACTTTCATTAGAGGGCAGCTTGTGTATTTTTCAACCTACTCAACCTATTTTTCCATGTCTTTATGTCTAATGGGAACAATAATTTTTGAAATTGGTCCAGTATTGAGTGAGAGCACTGCAGCCAGCAGCGGCAAAACAGGTTGCAGTGTAATTTTAACAGGCAATGCAATGCCAATCATCCACCAAAAGAGCTTGTTTTTTCCACTGATAGGCTTAGATTGATATCACAAGTGTCTGAAAACATTATGTAACTCAACTCAGTTCAACTCAAATTTATTTATAAAGCACATTTAAAAATTACTCACATTTACGCAAGTGCTGTACAAAAGGAATAAAATGCTAAAAACGCATACATAGGAGGTGACATAACTGTCAGGTACATAGCTCACACATTTAGAGACACATGGGGTTTTACATACAGTAGGTAGAAAGGCTGCCGAGCTGGTCAGAAATTCCTCTGATGGACCCGGCGGGGCCAAAGAGGACAACTTCTTATTTGCCCTCATTCAGCTGAGGGAAGTTCTATGCCATCCAGTTCTTCATGTCCTCGAGGCAATTAATGAGACTGGCAACACTGGACTTGTGGTTAGACTTAAGAGGGCGATACAGCTGTGTGTTGTCAGCATAGGAGTGGAAGGAGGTGTTCTGTTTTTTAATAATATGGCCAAGAATAAGCATGTACAATGAAAAGAGAATAGGGCCTAAGATGGAGCCTTGAGGGACCCCACAGGAAAGAGTGGCTGAGGAAAGGATCCCTACAGAGACAGACCTTTGTGAAAGAGTAACATTCTTTTTGCTAAACCAGAAGCAGCCCCGAAATCTCTATCGCCAAACCCACCAGACTCCATTTAAATAAACAATATTTTATCATCTTAAAACACACTTAATTCAAAAGCCATCTTGGTTTGTCTTTTCACTGTTCCAACAATCACTAACTCCACATTGGCTGAGATAAACCTTTAATTCACCCAGGTAAATGTTAAAATATGTGGGGGGTGCATACGCTAAAATAACTGTTTATTTAAATGGGGTCTGGTGGGTTTGCCAATGGTGATTTTTAGGGGCTTACTCTTAATCAGAAAGGTCTGTCTCTGTAGGGATCCTTTCCATAATGTTGTCAGACACTTACAATAATAATCTAAGCCTGTCAGTGGCAAAAACAAGCCCTTTTAGTGGACGTAATTTCACGGTGCACGAATGCCAAGAGTTGTTACATTGCAGCCTGTTGTGCAGTTCCCTGCTGTAGCCCTGTCGCACAATACTGAACCAGTTTTAAAAAAAATGCTGTCTCCATTAGTCACCTAGTCACAGTAACATGAGTAGATAGGGTTGAGATTGAAAATACAAGAAAGGGCATCTGGCCTTGGCGAAATCTTAAAATCCAATAGATGGTAGTAAATAGTGAATAGTGACAAAACAAAGCCAACTGTAGAAATACGATGACTCCTCACTCACAGGTGCCAGTCATCCTTTGAGGTCGCCTACAGATGTAGCTGCTCAAACTTCATACAGACAGCAGTCGTCAGAGAACAGGGAGAACAGGTACAACTGTGACGACGCTTTCCTTTCAAACTAAGGTGTGGCAATGGAAACATAAACAATCACGTCATGCAACTAATGATACTCTCACTCACATTCAAATGTGAATTGTCTCCAATAAACTCTGCCAGATGTAATCACTTAAAGTGGACTCAGTTGTCTTTGATAACAAGCTGTTCATGACGTTATTTCATATAGGCAATTTGTACATACTAATAAAGTGTTTTCTGCTTTTCACAAATGCTGCATATGTAAAATGTTTCCAATTCAGTAGCACGTAATAAATGCACAGCTGAGATGATGAAGCTTCAAACAGACACAACCATATCTGACATCATTCTGATACTTTTGGAAATGTATCCAGACATATAAAATGGTTGCAGTTGTAGATTTGCATATCATAAAAGACGATCAACCTTGGTGGAGGTCTGCGTTCTCTGAGTGCCCTTGTAGTTTTACATGAATTGAAATACACCTTCAGTCACAACCTCAAAGAGCTCTTTATCCTGCGCTGCTGTCACAGTTTGAGTTAATAACCTGTTGTAGATTACAGCCTGTGAATGACAATGTAGATGTTTTGTTCATGCAGGGAACCAATAAAAACTCAGCATGTACCTGCAGATCAGGATAAAGGGGGAACAAATTTCTATTCAGGTGAACCTAGAAACAAATTACACTGAAAGCACTATTATTACCTTTGTGCCCTATCGTAACAACTGTGTTGAAAAGGACAAAACTTTCACTTAGTAAAAAAAACAAACACTTTAATATCACTTATGATAGATTGATTTTCTCTCAGCTCACACTGCACTTTTCTTTATGCTGCATCTATCACTATGACAGGACATAAAAGCCTCAATTTAACTTCAACTTAAACTTTATTGTCCACAAGGGGATTTTTTTCCCTTCCTAAAATGCAGAACACCAGCTTGAACATAAAACTCAATAAATACATATAACAGTTTTTTTTTTTAGACAATGCTAAATATCCCCCACAGGAGCTCCCATAAAACAATGTACAATGACATCAAGTATAAAACCTAGGATACATCCAGCGATTGTCATCCTGCCCAGTTATCCATAATTAAAGAGCATCATCAAATGTTGTATAGAGAACTGCTCATCAGCTGAATTGTTTAACAGGCGGCATGATAAGTGGAAATGTAATCTACATAAAAAGACAGCCTATGAACAAATTAACTCGAAGGCTGTGAGGGAAGAGAGGGAGAGCAGAGAGCTTTATTGTTATTGATGTTTAGTGGAAAGATTTTTTTTTTTGGGTCCATAAAGGTACAGTATGCAGGATTTATCTTTAGACTCATACAGAAGTAATCCTCTTCAATCAAAACTAGAGGTGCGTGGTTGTGTATTTATCTGAAGAGATTCTTATTTTCTTCTTTAGTTGTGTTCAGGACGTTTATAGTCACAGCACACAGATGAGGTTGGGACTTTATAAAAAGGTAGCAACCAGCTGCCAAATCATAAACAGCACGCATGCAAGAGGAAGCTACTAAAATTGCGGACACAGCGCCCAAAAAGCACAGACATAGTGAATAATATTGAATCTATGGTTTCAATTTCGCTGGCGATACAGTTTACAAACAATAAGTCCTGCATAGTATACCAGAGAAATAGAGAACTGGGTGAGAAGATAGCGGTCCATGCAACTAGTAGTAGAAGTAGTTACAGCACAACTTGTGTTTACATTTTAGTTCGTATATAGCTTGTTAATCAGTGAGCTTTGGAAGTGCTGGTAGGTAGATTTACTTTTATTTTTTTAACCTGTGGACCAAGCAGCAACTTCCAGGGCTGAAAAATGAAGCTGATGCACAAGTGCCAATAACTGCAGTTCCTTGAGTGACCACTTGAGGCTGGCTCCAAAAGCGAGTCAATACCCAAAGACCTCCATGTTAAAATGCCTGAATTAATAGCAGAAATAAACATGTTTACAGCCTAGTACAAAACCAGTTTTGGTCTCTATAGCTTATTTCAACATTCATGACAACTGTACAGGGAGCGATTGTTTTTACATAAATCACCTATTTATATTTATTTAGGCTTAAAGTTACACATAATTATGGGCAGGCAGCTTTGAGTGACAGGCTGTCTGCCAAAAGTGTCCTCATCTTCTCAGTCAGATTCACCCCTCGCTCCGCAGTGCCAGTGTCTTGCCTAAATATGGTCACGTCACCTCCAAAAATCAAGATGGCAGCAGCAACCAATGGGTGACGGCAACAGCAAGTCAATCCCCACAGACCCGCATGTTAAGATGGTCAACATTACAGCAGAAATAAACATGTTTACAGCCTAGTACAAAAACAGTTTGGGTCGACTCTATGGGGAGTTAATTTTTATATAACCCACCAGTGTAAATGTTGTTAAGGCTCAAGGTTACACATGATCAAGGGCCTGGTTGCTCTGAGTGACAGGCTGTCTGCGATCCACCCCTCGCTCCTTCATAGCTCCAACTTCTTGTCCAAAATGGTCACTTCTGGCTTAAAAGAAACAACTTGGTGACAGCCAAACTCAAGGCTTCAAAACGAGAGTCCACAGAACTACGTCCATTACACAGTGTATTGTTTGGATGGAGCCAGGCTAGCTGTTTCCCTCTGTTTCCAGTCTTTCTGTTAAGCTAAGCTAAACTTCCAGCTTTAGCTTCATATTGACTGTACAAACATGTGAATGCTGATGATATTATCATTGAATAAACAAGTTGAATCTTTAAAATCTCCAAACAGGCTTCATCAGTAACATCCTGTACACTTGCTGTGTTTCACAGGTTTTAACCCCAGAGGAACAGACTTTAGCAGCAAGTAACGACTACAACTTTGATCATCCGGGGGCGTTTGACTTTGAGCTGCTGGTTGCCACCCTGCGAAAGCTGAAGCAGGGCAAGAGTGTGAAGATCCCGGTGTATGATTTCACCACACACAGACGACAGAAAGACTGGGTGAGGTGTCTCATTTCTGCTGGAAACTCCTCAGTGATGATTTCCTCAAAGACTTTGGCTGTTTAAAGATTTAATATGTATCCTGTAATTCTGGAAAGAAGAGACGTTGAACGCAGTGATGAGATGTTGAGTTTCCCTGTGGATTGATTTTTAAAGCTAAAAAATATATTCTAGGCTTAAATAAAATATTGTTATTTTTAAAAGTTGTTTCCCAACGTGACATCCTGCTGCTTTAATCTGAAAACAGCTGAACTGGCTGTTGATGAAGCAGCTTTGAAGACTGTTGGTTTTCTCTTTGTGCAGAAAAATGTGTACGGTGCCAGTGTAATCATATTTGAGGGAATTATGTCTTTTGCGGACAAAGAGCTTCTTCAGGTAAGGCAATATGTTTTCTTTTTGAAGAATGCTTGAGTGAAGTAAAGCAATCACCAGCAGGTATTATTGTTGTTTGAGCAGCTGCTTTTGCTGAAGTGAATATTATTGAACCGTTCGAGGTGTCTGTGTTTGCTCTCCCCACCTGCAGCTCCTGGATATGAAAATCTTTGTGGACACAGACTCAGACATTCGGCTGGTCCGCCGGCTGCGCAGGGACATCACAGAGCGCGGACGAGACATTGAAGGCGTCATCAAGCAATACAACAAGTTTGTGAAGCCGGCCTTTGAGCAGTACATTGAGCCGACCATGAGGCTGGCTGATATTGTTGTGCCGAGAGGTGAGACAGTGGGACTTCCTCTCTGCCGAGAAACACTTAACCATAACATTCAGACGCACTGTTGACTGCAGAGAACGTACCAACAACATGTCCTTGTTTTCCCCTCTCAGGTGGTGGGAATATGGTGGCCATTGATCTGATAGTGCAGCATGTTCACAGCCAGCTGGAGGAGGTGAGTAGGCAGAACACTTATTGTTGATAGGAGCGTGGCGCCACCATGTGTCCGAAAGCTGTAACATACAGACAGAAAGAGAGAGTCCCAGATGCTTGTACACACAGGGGGTCTGCAGGTCCTTGAAAAGTCTAAAAATGTTCTAAAATTTATTTTTTAGAAATATTGCACCTTAAAAACCATTAACTAGTCGTTAAATGTGAATGTGTGAAGTCCTAACTGCCACAAAAATGTTTTATCTAATTTCATTTACCATCTTTTAATTTCTTTTCTATGAAATTAGTCAAGCTTTTCTTCATTAAAGTCCACATTTATGCTACTTATAATCTTTAAACCTACCACTGAACCCGATACTTTTTTTTTTACTTTATACTTGCACTTACTTGTTGGCAAAATTTAAATTAACCTAACTCAGTAATAACCATATTCCTACGTAAAACCTGCCTCTGAATGGGGCCACATATGTACTACTTAGCTTTATACTAACCTGCAATGATAGAATGTGACAAAGATGATTTGTCCAAAAGTTATTCTTAAATTTAGTTAAAAAAAAAAATATCTTGAAAATGGCTTAAAAACATCAGCTTTAAGTGTGTGATAACTGCAGGGACCTGCTTGCGAACTAACCTGCTTACTCTAATTATTAAATCAGAATTTCTAATCACAAACTTTCAGACTATCACTTTGGAAAACAAAGTTTAGTTTAGTTTAGTTTAGTTTAGTTTATGTAAATGGAACATACAGTTTAAAAGACTTATTTGAACACCTCAACAAGAAATAATTTAACATAATTTTTTAATCATACAAATGTAATGATCATCATCATTATTAAGGATGGGTGCTGCAGTATTTTACTGAATACCAATTAGAGGTGAAACTGTGAAGATTTCATGTCACACTGATAGTGATTGTAGATATCAGTATTATCACTGTGTCATTAAGATGTGATGAAGAAGTACTGACACGCACACTGAAATCATTTCACCCAGTTTTATATTGAAAACTACAAATAAAATCAACAGCACTTTTGTTTGCATATATTGAAATAATTGCATAGTCAGTACCTTATGGAAACATATGAAAACCATGATGATGACGACGACGACGACATTGAAATAAGTTTAGGAAAAGCTACAATGCCCGGCTGATTGGGGAAACTATGAAGCCTTTTTAAAAATGAAACCATATAATTGTTACTAGATTTTAAAGATTTACATCATCAGCAGGAATTAATGGTTTTGGGGCTTCTCACTTTCTTTACTGTCTTTCTCTTACCCTCTCTTAATGCAGCGTGAGCTCAGTGTCAGGTACGCTGCAATGTATTTCGATTTTACCTTCTGTGTTTTATTGTGACTGGAGATTTTGCGTCAGTCTTGTATACCGACTGAGTTCTTTCTGTGTGTCTGTCATTCTGCGTTTAGTGACTTGGTCTTAATGGTAACTCAAGATACAATAACACAGTAAAACCTTGTGATCCTAACAACCTCTCCTCCCTCTCAGGGCACTCCTGGCCTCCGCTCAGCAGACTCAGCCGCTGCCTCAGACGCTGAGCGTGTTAGAGAGCACGCCGCAGGTCAAAGGCCTGCACACCATCATCAGGTATCCACCTGTGCTCAATTAATACAGTGTTGAGTCTCTGTAACAGTTCATACAATGAAACCTTTTCTCTTTCCGTAACACAGGAATAAAGAAACCAGTCGAGATGAGTTTATCTTCTATTCAAAGAGATTAATGCGGCTCCTCATAGAACATGCACTAACGTTTCTACCGTCTCAGGTGGGTAGACTGTAAAGTAAATGTTAAAGTGGCTTTAATTAATATTTACTCAGGACTACTTTTATGTGAAAGGTGTAGTGATAAACCCACAGAGAGTTATCACCTGTCATCTGCAGTTCCCCTCACGTCTGTGTATCTTTGTTTTGGTTTTACACCTTGCCGTAGTTTTACTGTTTTGGTTCACCCTATTCTGTAATCTGTGTGGTTTGCATACTCCCTCCCAGACAGCCATCAGTTTGAAAATCAACTTGCAGAGACATGAAACTTGCTTGAGATAATTACAATAATGACACCCTGGCTGTTATTATAATTATGGGTTTGTCGCAGTGTTTGTCGCATGACAACGAAGCTGAGACTATTTTGAAAACTTCAAACTCCAGCTCACCGCCCCGAGACTCAACATCTTCAAGTTGTCTTTTTCCCTGTATCCGTGTTTACTTATTGTTTCTCTCAAGTGTTTCTAAAGACAAAGCCTCAAGCAGCCGGCTCTCACATGTCAGTTGTCATAGTTTGAATGTACCAACAACAAAGAGTTTTCAAAACAGTTACAGCTCACAACAACGTACCTGACAGGAAATAAAGGAGCCCACACGCTGCCTGTGATGTGGTGTCTCGAGCAAAGTTCAGGTCTCTGCAAGTTGATTCCCAAAATCACCAGATTTCTACAAACTATCATACAAATGTCTGTGGAATATTGTTGGTGTTAAAGTTAAAGCTGTAGTTGGTAACTTTTTATAAAAAATAACCTTTTGTCTATTTGCTGAAACTCTCACTAAATCTACTAGTGATGCATGGGGTGACCCACAACCTGTGGGTCAGGTGGTTCAGTTAAACTTGTAAGAAAGTATTGCAGGTTTTGGGTGGGTGGGCCATTTAGTGACAAAGCAGCATTCTGAGTCAGTTATTAATAACTTATAGAAACATTGCACAATAGTCCACCTTCCACCCTTTCTTCCCCTTTTCTTCCTGAATAAAACACACATTTAAATTGTGACATTGACTGGAAATGACATACAAAAAGCCAACAGCAAATTGGTGTATGTCATGGTCATTAGCAGAAACTTCTAATCTCCAGTTTGTGGGTTGGGTTCGGTTCCTTGATAAATGCATATGTTTGTGATTTGGGTGGGACAGAGTAGCCCTCATAAGGGGCTGGGTCATTGCAGTTGTCGTCAGCTAATCTTCGAGTTATCTTTACTTCATCTGCACCGCCGCCTCTGTACTGTTCTCTGACTTAACTCTGTGGTGTGTGTGTGTGTGTGTGTGTGTGTGTGTGTGTGAGTGTGTGTGTGTGTGAGTGTGTGGAGGAGGTCAGCCCAACGTGCAGACAGCAGGAGAGAGGCTGCAGCGTGATGATTAATGAAACCAAAACTTTAAAACAGTAATGATAAAGGAGCTGATAACATGGGAGCTTATTAATACAACGGTGTGTCATCATTTTGCCCCAGGGCCATTTAATAGCGGGTCTGGGTACTCATCCCTAGCTGGGCCACTCAGAGGTACTTCTTGGCCGGATGTGGCCTGTGGGCCGCCAATTGAATAGGCCTGGCCTATGTTAATGTGTGTGACCATGCTGTAATACTGTGTGGATGTAGTAACAGTTTCAGCAAATATGACAAATGGTTATTTTCATAAAAGTTACCAGCTGTAGCTTTAAGTGTACACTGTTTATGGTGAGTGTGCCAAAGACAGTAATACGGTTTATATACACAGAAATGCTTCACATTAACAAGATAAAGTTCTTTATATACACACAAAAACATGCATAAATAGTTAAATTTGTATCTGCAGCTGTGGGAGTTGTGTAATAAAAATAGATTTCTTTGTATCTTCTATCAGTCGTGTGTAGTTCAGACTCCACAGGGCCATGAGTACGAGGGCCGCAGTTACAACGGCAAAGGGGTGAGTGATGCTCTTGTTTTCCAAGGTCTTGTTAACTTCCAGTCGAGTGTGTCCGCAGGGCTTCTGTCATCACAACCTGCTCCACTGCCTCGTCTCCACAGATCACCGGTGTGTCGGTCCTGCGGGCGGGAGAGACCATGGAGCCCGCCCTGAGGGCCGTGTGCAAGGACGTCCGCATCGGCAAGATCCTCATCCAGACCAACCTTGACTCAGGTGAACCGGAGGTAGATAAAATGAGTCATTTTGGTACCAAACGCTCCTCACGTCAATATCTTTGACACGTGTGTCATCTTTTTAAACTTTACATGATAAGATAATGTCACAGAAATCTCATCAAATCATCATCAAATGTTTTGATTGTTTTTGGGTTTTTTTTTCCTCTTTCTTCCACATGATGTGTGTCTCCGTGGTAACTACCCTTCCTGCTTTCGTAACCATGGTAACCTGTCTCCTCCTCTCTGGCCTCGCCAGCTGCATTACCTGCGTCTGCCCAAAGACATCAGCGAAGATCATGTCATCCTAATGGACAGCACAGTCTCCACCGGCGCTGCTGCCATGATGGCAGTGCGAGTCCTGTTGGTGGGTGGATATTAACATCATTATTCTTCCCCTCTCCTCTTGGCTGGTCACATGTGTTTTATTACTCACGTGTGTGGTTATTGATTGGAAGTTTATTTTTGTCCCGCTGAGATTAGATTAGCGTTATTTCTGCAAAGTAAAGTGTCAGATATTTCCTTCCCTTGCTTTCCACTTAACCCTGTGATGATGATCAGGCGCTGACAGTTGTTGCTGTGATGTGTGTGGCTGAGCAGGATCATGAGGTGCAGGAAGAAAAGATTGTGTTGGTGTCGCTGTTGATGGCGGAGCTCGGGGTGCACTCTGTGGCCTACGCCTTCCCGAAAGTCAAAATCATCACCACGGCTGTGGACAAGAGTCTGGATGATTTGTTACATGTAATTCCTGGTATCGGTAAGCCATTACATGCACACACTCCCTCATTCTGTTAAGGCATGTGTCAAACATTTTGTCCAAGTAGAACTTATTCATCTTTTTTAAGTCTCTAAACGTCTGGAGAACTTAAATTGGAATCACAGATGACGTACAAAACTATAACTTCTACTTCATGAGTTGTTTTTAGCACACAACCCCGGCCTCACTGTGCATGGTTTTTGCTTTCATGCACGAGATAAAAATGTCCACGGTCTTTGCAGCAGATAAAAGATAATAAACCTTTGTGTTTCAAGTTGACAGATTTCATTTCATGTCCCAGTAGATTCTAATTTTATGCTTGTGTCACTTCAGATCTGGAGCAAGCAATGCTCTCAATTAGCACTGTAACTAAATTACACAATATGCATATTGGATAGGCCAAACTGTCGTCTGTAAACATAAATAATGACATACAATTACATAATGAAACATTACTTTCAACATTAGGATGAATATTCAGTGTGTTATGTTACACCAATTAATTAGTCTCTCTGTTTGTGGATCAAACAGTTTCATCATTTACGAAAACCATCACTGAGTGCTTATTTCCAAGTCTTCTAACCTTTGCAGCCATTTAGTTTTACTGTGCTTTCATGCTGTTTTTTCATTATTTTCTAACCCGCTGATACACAGCAGCTCTGGGTCCACTGTCGTGTGTTTTCAGGGGACTTTGGGGACCGGTACTTTGGGACAGACGGGTCCGACAGCTGGAGTGATGACGACCAGGACCAGCCGTCATACTGACACACACATCTGTGAGCCACTGTGAAAGAAAATACAAACACTACTTGAAAACTCTCGTTATTGTGCATCCTCCTCTTCAGACACAGACCAGCAAAAAACATAAAAATCACTTTGTGTACTTTACATGAACTTTTGTACTCTTATACAACACATGACTGTTGGTCAGGTTGTATGCAGGTAGGATATTCTGTTGTATTTACATCTGAGTGTTCATAATTTTCATATGGATGGGTGACAGAGCTGAAACGGTGCCATTACTTTTAAGGTACAACAATGCAATAACAGTGTTATTATATACTAAATGATTTTATCCAGGATTGCACCAGCTGTTCATGAATCCGCTCACAGTAATTTCTAAGTAGTTTCAAACTAAATTGGGTTTCACCATTATACCTTAACTACTAAGGACTTTATATGTAAATCGGTTGCTCACTAGCATCTGTAACATTGTGCAATGTAAACAGAAAGTCACTTAAAGCTGTAATACACTTTACCAAACAAGAGTTTACAGCTATGCCACTGGCTCTCTGAAGCTTTGAGCTAAACGCTAACACCAACATGCTAACGTGCTCACAATGACAGTGCTAATGTGCTGATATTTAGCAGCTAATGTTTACTACTGGTATGTTCATCCTTAGTTTAACATTAGCAGGCCAACAACTGTGTGAAATATGTGTTTAAGAGTTAGTAGCCTAAGCTATTCATGCAGTTTAGAATTAGCTGAGTGGGACATATCCATTTAAGCTAACCCAACTGACTGTGTAATCTACATTTTAAGTGTGCTGTGGGTAATTTTGTGAAAAGTAATTTTAAATCTTCAGTTTGCATCATTTCTAAACAACAGATTATTCATCAAGTGTCATGTAAGACATGTCGACCAAACCATCAACTCTTTACTCTTTATATAAACTGCTCATATTAGCAAGCTAACGTTACCTTTGTGAGTTGGTTTAGTTAGCTCTGCGACAATTTCACCAGGCAGTTAGCACCCAACTGACTTAAGTGTAATTTCCATTTTGAAATGTAGTAATTAAAATCCTCCGTTTACATCATTATTAAACAGCATTTTAATGTCAGGTCTAACGTATAAACCACAAACCATTACCTTTTTACTCTTTATCTAAACAGCTCATATTAGCAAGCTAACGTTAGCTTTGTCAGTTGGTTCATTTAGCTCTGCTACAGTTACACCTGGCAGTTAGCAGTAGTCAACGTCCGATTATGCTAACCCAACTGCCATAATCATATTTTGAGCTGTACTCAGGGTAATTTTGGGAAAAGTAAATTAAAATCTTCAGTTTTCATCATTATCAGGCAGTATTTTAAGTGTTAGGTGAGACGTTTGGACTAAACACCATTAACTATTTAAGCTTTATCTAACTGGCTCATATTAGCAAGCTAACAGTAGCGTTCACAGTTATCTCAGTTATATCTGCTACAGTTTTACCTGGCAGTTAGCAGTAGGAAATGTCTGATTATGCTAACCCAACTGGCTTTAGTGTAATCTTCATTTTGAGCTGTACTGTGAGTAGTTTACATCAGCAGTAATGTCAGGTCTGATGTGTCGACCAATAAAATGAACTTTTCACTCTTTATTTAAACGACTCATATTAGCAAGCTAACATTAGCTTTTTCAGTTGGTTCAGTTAGCTCTGCTATAGTTTCACCCATAGGTTTCACCTGGCAGTGAGCAGGTGTGAGTATCCAATTATGCTAACCCAACTGACTCTAGTGTAATCTACATTTTGAACTGTACTGTGGGTAATTTAGCGGGAACTGCCCATTGGTCCGACAGCCCATTATTCCGACAGCCCATTGGTCCGACATCCCATTGTTCCGATCATATTAAACCCATTGTTCTGAAGTCCCGTTGTTCCGAAATCATCATGATGCCCCATGGTTAAGGTCTGGTTAGGTTTAGGCACAAAAACACTTGGTTAGGGTTAGGAAAAGATCATGGTGTGGGTTAAAATGGAAAAAGAAAGTGGCAAACACATTAGCCGTGAGCCTGCTTTGCCTCAAGCCTTTCCCAGCTGACCCAGAGCCGGTCGCGGCGCACCATCAAGGCAGAAATACACCTGCCAGGAGCTGTTCAGCACTGCGGAAAGCTCCCCACACAACCCGGACCCCAGAGTTAATAACAGGAGGTTATGGTGTTTCATTCTCTCCTCTCTATGACACTTGTATCTCGACCAGTAGCCTACTTTTGTTGCGTTTGCTGATCCTCTATGGTACACAAACACAGTATAGCCTAGTACAATCACATATCGGAACAACGGGACGTCGGACTAATGGGATGTTGGACCAATGGGCTGTCGGATCAATGACATGGACCCAATTTAGCAAGCTAATGTTAGCCTTGTCAGTTGGTTCAGTTAGCTCTACCACAGTTTCACCTGGCAGTTGGCAGTAGTAAATATGTGATTATGCTAACTTAACTGACTTGAGTGTATTCTACATTGTCAAGTAGGCCTGTGTTGTTAAACCGCTTGGTTTCATTTTTCGTAAAATCTGACCCAAAAACCCTGTGACTCAATTATGTTAATCCATTTGAGGAAAAAAAAAAAACGCGGCTAATTATAACTAGGCTTAGATTTAATTCATGATCAGCTGGTGCAACTGGTTCAAGAATATTCTCTGGTATAAATTCACTCATACTTTGCTCTAATAAAACATTTTTATATATGTGGTAAATGCACATCTACAGTAGAGTAGAGATTTTATATTTAACATGTACCACAAATCTTAATCTTGTAGGTTTACACATTCACAATAAAATGCCTACAGAAGTATATAATAAATCTTAAATTCAGGGTAAAAGAAAACATGTTGGAGATTTAATTCAGTTTTCTGTCCTCACTGCCTCTTTCTACTTCTACTGGACATGTTTATGTGTCTGGGCTGATCGTCCAGCTGTGGATCAGATCATCAGAGCGAGGTCACGGAGGGTCACAGGCTCACTCCTGAATATTTTCCACGGTCCTCTGACTCTCAGGGTTCAGATACGGGCCACTCGGCTCCACAGTGTGATGCACTTTAAAGCCTGAGGGGGTCAGTATAGCTCACATTTAGCTTCTCTCTGATTTATAGTGTGTCTGTGAGAAATAACTGTGTCTTTACAGTACAGAAGAATGCACACAGATTCACCTGAAACACTTCATTTACACAAGTTAAAATAAGGATATCTGATGTCATGAATGGCAGGTTTACAGTCTTGGAAACGTTCTTTTTATTCATGATTTTACTGATTGATGTGGTGAAGGATACAGTGTTGTAAAGCTCAGTGACAAACATGAGATAATGGTGTTAATGTGATTTCAGGGCTACAAAATGAGCAATAAAAACCTGGAGCCTCGCCGTTTTCCCTCCCCCCGTTGTGTTCACACAGTTTACTCCAGACAACGAGCACACCTCGTGATCCGCTGGTGATAATAGTGATTCCCCCAGCTGGTTTGTGACCTCACGCTCAGTGTTATCTGTCTGATCCTGGTGTCTTTTCACTCGTCATGTACCTTCAATGAATCTGGCAAGTCTCATTCATGTGTTTATTCAGCCATTCATACTCCTCATAGTGAGATTAACACATCACATAAGCTGTGAATGTTGTATCATCTTCACACCTACAGCATCTCTCCACTCCTACACGTTTGTTTTGGGCTGTTTTTCTTTTTTTTCTCTCCCCCCGTGTGATAGCGCCTCACCGAGCGGGTGACACTGTGATCACGGATGTCATACGACGCACGCTGTATTCTCCAAGACAGCAGAAGACTCGCTCGCCCATGTGACTACTGCCTCAAGGTTAACCTGTTACCATGGAGACAAGCCCGCCAATGAAAATTCAGCAGACGGTTGCGATGTTGACTGCAAGCTTTTTGTTTTAAGGGGTGACCTATTTTTTTTTCCTCTCCCCCCCCCCCCGACCACCACCACTACCACCCCTCCACAGCTACTCAGACGCAGACCCCACTACTCTGGCACATGTGCACGTGCACACACACATTCACACAGATGAGGGGGAAAAAGGCTACTCAGACACACGTGCACGTCACACTCCATGTGAAATGAGGTTGTAAGGTTGTACACAAAAGAAGCAAGGGACAAAGGAAACAAGCATATAAAATAATATATGAAACACATTTTTAGATCTTAATTTGACCCTGACATTATCAGTGCATAGGTATGTAAAGATTTTTCTTTGATACGAGCTGAAGACGTGAATCTACAGGCAGCTTTTAGAGATCAGAAGTAAAGGTTTAAATTAAAAGAGAGTCTTTGATCCATCTGTCGACAGCAAAATGAACTCTTGGTGATATTTAGTCTTTTACAAAGAAGGTCATCTTCGTCACTCAGCGAATTCCGCTGTCTTTCACTTTTTAATAACTGACACTATGAGATAAAACATCTTTTTTTTTAAAGTGCCACTTTATTACAAAAGTATAAACTTGACTGACATTTCATGAATAGTAATCTTGATATAAAACATTACAATCTTTTGCACTTTAGCACTTAATTACACGCTTTGTCGAGTACAAGACCCTGTAGTCTGAATAGCAAACACACAACATTAGCTGCCACATTTAACTTAGCTGTTGGCTTTTCCAAGAACACACCGTAGCTTCATGGCTTCAAAAACAACAAACAGAATTACACTGAAGAATTTACATTGCAGCTGTTTTTCGCAGTTTTTGTGTCACAAGATAAGTCATTCCAAAAACACAATTAAACATAATAGAAAAAGATAGATTTCTTGACACTGATGATATATTTATTATTCTTTCTCTTTTGTAATGTACATACACATTGCATCAACATACAGTATAATCACATTGTTTGCTGGGGATATTTGGTCAAATGAGATCGTCGTTACTGTCCAGGATTCAGGTGTAAATTTCCGTTATCTTCGGGGGGTGATGCTCTGCCGCTTCGTTTGCTTCACATTTTTGTCATTTCTGCAATATTTTTCACACTGATAACAGAGAGAGGAGTTCATCGATGGAGTGATGATGGGACATGACGTTTGCTAATACACATCAGTTCTACTGTAGCTTTCCAAGCTGCACTATGGTGAAACCCAAGCAGATTCATATGACCACAAGGCAGGGACTATGTAGATGAACGGTCCACAGACGTGAGTGAGGACTGAGCAGAGAGGGAGGCGTGTATGTGTGTGTATGTATGTGTGTGTGCGCGTGTGTGTGTGTGTGTGTGTGTGTGTGTGAAGGCGGGGGGTTGAGTGGACTGTCTCCACCTTTAGGACTCGAGCAGTTCTCTTTTGTTTCATCTGTACCGTGTGTGTGTGGTGAGAGAAAATTAACTCCTCTCCGCTGCACAGAGTCCCACTGAGCCAAACACATCCTTAATCTAACTGGCTTTGTGCTCTACAGAGAAATAAAGCAACACACTAAAAATAAATAAACAACCAACGACAATAGAAAAGAAAACATTCATATAGAGGTACCACATGACATTGCTTGATTTTTTGTTTGTTTTTTTTATCCACTTTTTTTTTAAGCATGCAACTTGTAGCAGGCAAAGTGCAGAAACAGGATCAACAAAGTAAAACACTTCATTTACAGACGGCAGTGGAGACAGTGTTCAGTCCATGTCAGATGAAACAAAACATGACGGAGGGAAGTATCCGGTCGGTTTTTAAACATGATGATGGTCTAAATTAGTCGAAGCTTTTTAGGAGGAATGCAAAATGTGTGCAATTCTTTTTTAATAATACTCTCATAATTGTTTCTCTTGGTCCCTGAGCTTTCAAGTATTTTGATTAGTAATTCGTTCCTTTATATCATTTAAATTCTGTCCTGAATCACATCTTGACCAACTACAGGGAAGGCCTGCTCATGATAAGTGCTACCAAAAGATTTCACACAACGCTGTGTGAAGTCCCACTAGGACTTTTTTACCCGCTAGAATTGAGGAAGAATTTAGGCTTTTTACTCTTTTTGTGCTTTGCACATATTTATCAGTAAAATAGAAGTGCTACTGTTACCTACAGATTGCTCTGCGATGGTCTTGTGCTCATTTATTATTCACTACCTTTGGATTCCTTTTAAGGTTTATAGATTGGACTTTGTGTTCAGCCCAGGTCATAACAGATCAACATTATTGCCCCGAGGCCTCGAGAGCCTGTGAGAGGCGTGATGTTATGACTTGAATGTAAACAGTATGTGTGGGTGAGCATGACAGGGGCTCAGCCGTCACTCCTTGTGGTGTTAGCTCAGCTCCTTGTGTTGGAAGGATAGGGGTCACAGTGCAGCCACCGCCTCAGAGCCCTGTCACGTACATCTCCATGCCGTCGTTGAAAGTGAAGATGGTGGTGGTACTGGAGGTGGCCGAGCCCTGCTTCAGGTCGCCAATGCTCTCGTACAGGTTCTCCCCCGGCAGCAGCAAGGCTTTGGCGGGCAGGTGCTGTAACTTGGGGGTCTGCTGCGTCGGCGGCGGGGGAGGGGGCTGCTGCTGCTGCAAGGGCTGCTGGGCTTTCTTCCTCCTCGGCCGCAGGGTGGCACATGTGTTGGGGGGCCGTTCTCGCTTCCAGGCGCCTCCGCCTTCCATGTTCTCATAAGCCAGATCGCACTCCTCTGTCCCGATGGACTCGTAGCAGTGGTCGTCGAGGGGCCCTCCGACTGCTTTGCCCTCTTGAAGGGCCCATGTCTGGGGTTTTACCACTACACTAAACCCCCCGTCCCGGTCTCGGTCACGGTCACCGCGACCCAAGGTCCGGAAGCCAGGATTGGCTGGGGGAGACCCCAGCACAGCTCTCTTCTTCTTTCCCGGTTTGCACACCTTCGAGTACATCTCAGCCACCTGCGGTCAAACAACACCACACTGAGGTCATGGACTTGAAAGGAAATGTGCTTATTAACTAACTTTATTTGACAAGAATATCAAAACCTCTGTCAAGTCTGTACGTTAAATATAAATCTGGAGCCAGCAGCCGGTTAGCTTAGCTTAGCATAAAGACTGGAAACAGGGGGAAATAGTTAGCCTGGCTTTGTTTAAAGCTAACAAAATCTACCTGCAGTACCAGACACTCTATAGCTCACTCATTTGTTTAATCCCTACGAAAACCAAAAGTGTAAAAATGCAGACTGTACTCGTGCACTGTTTGTTCGTATACCTCCGAAAAGTAATGCAACATAATTGGTATATAACCCATGTCATCATGAGACAGTAATTCTTGTTTAACCTGCACAATGATCGAGGGTAAAGCAGGAAGTAGTATAAAGACCAAAAGTCCAAGTAGGGAGGCAGGTCGGGGTGACTTTACAAGAGGAGACTGTTGTTTGGGACTGTGTGAAACCAAGTGAACTTTGAGTTAAGGTAAGGTACATCGTCACCATGTGTCTTTGCCCAAACCAAACTAACTTTAAGTTAAATACGTAACATCATTCGTAGGGCGCTATTTCGTTGTGTATCACATGAACTATTGTATGTGAATTTTTGTAATTGATGATAAGAAATGTGGCGGGAGGATATGTTGAAAAAATGACAAGTTGTGGTTTTCAGTGGGTCAAGTGCAAGTTGCATGTTGTTGTAGACACAAGGAAGTCAGTACATCCCGCCAAGAAATTGTCTGACACATAAACCCTTGTAACACTTTGGTTTTTGTACAGATTAAACAGACAAGGTATAATGTTTAAGAGGTACTGGTAGGTGGATTTTGTTCACTTTGGACAGAGCCAGGCTGGCAGTTTCCCCCTGTTTCCAGTCTTTATGCTAAGCTAAGCTAATTCATACTCACCAGACAGACGTGTTCAACTGCAAAGTGACTAAGGATGTATTCCAAAACATCAAATTATTTCTTTAACCTTTTTTAAATATTCTGTCTGCTTTTCCCATGCTGTTACCTTTATAGGTGAATGCCTCCTTGTACATTTTTACGACACAAGAAAATGAAAAAATGATAATGAAACTTTAAAATTATGAGTCACATCATTCAAATACTGCAAAAACATTCATTTTCTGCTACTATCTTTGCTTGAATTATGAAATAGAGTTGCAACTTGGAGAGCAAGTTAAAAACATGTCTTTATTTTGCAGAATATTTCTGTGAGGATTTCGAAATACCCTCAGAAAATGTTCACTTTTAAAACTTCTTGGTGTTTAAAAGATCATCGAAAATTTAGTCTTACTGTAAACATGTGCTTTGATCAAATGCACTGGTAACAGTGTGCATGAGTGACACAAACCTGGTCTGGGTTACATCTGTTTAATGGTGATATAACAGACACAGAATACGGAAACTGTAAATCAGTCAATCTAATATTAAAGCTACTTAATTGTACATTAAAGGGGAACATTGAGAACAGGAAGCGTCAGCGCAGTAATTTAACTAATAAACCAGGCTGATGCAGAGACTGAAGAGTCCTCACTCACCACAGCAGCAGACGGTTGTATATTCTCCACTGTGTGAGCACCCAGCGGTCCCAGGGCTTTATTTTGGTGCATGAGCATGTCCTCATCCTCTGGAGGCTTCCAGATGTACTGCTCTCCGTTGCCCATAAACATCACTTCCTGTCAACAGAACAACAAATTGGGGCAGAACCTGTCACATGTTTATCTTCTTTAAGTATTTGTGAATATTAAAGCTGCTTTCAAAAAAACTGACAGAGTTCATAAAAGACAAATTAACCTCTTTAAGCATGCAGACGTGTTATAGCACAGAGCAGGCATTAGACATGTATTAGATTGATTTCATACGGTATTAAACAGATTTTCCCTGGAAGGTCGAGCTAACGTGAGGAACCATGTGCTTATGTTCTGGATGACTCAATTTCAACATGTTGCGTCATCCACAAGAATATCAGTGGCCAACAGCCCTGTGAGCAGACAGCGTACACATGTAAGCCTGTGAACTGTGCGTGTTACTGAACTCAGGTCACAGCAGATAGCGCGACCTCGCTGACCTCATGCAGGGCAGCAAATGGTCTCCCACTGTCACCTGGAGGGGAGCACAAAGCCTTTATGCCCACAGTAACAGCACAGTCTGCCTACACTCCTGCTGCTGCGACCATATGGAGGAGGTGACACTGCTGAGAGCAGAAATACCCCAGCATCACCAAGAAGTCTTCGACAAATAAACACAGCTCACTGCCCGCACTTCAGAGTAATGTCCACAGAAGTGCTAACATATCACAACACCGCGCACGATGAAGCCGAGTGCAGAGAAAACTGCAACGCTGGCACAATTACAACCGTGTAGATCCTCTGCAGCATCAACAGGAAATCTGACAGAAATACTCTCCACTGTACCTGGACGATGCGCTGCATATTAATGTGTCTGATACTGATGCTGACAAAGAACTACAGACGTTACATTCATCACAGACATTTTTTTCACGTATTAGTGCAGCCAGCAACAAAAATCTGAGCCTGACAATCAGAACAAAGATCCCAGAGATGTTTTAAAGCCAAACTCAGATACTCACTGCGTTCTGAATCACATACTTTGTCTTTTTACTTAATGCTCGCACTGCAGCTGCCCTTACAAAGTATACACTGTTACATAGAGTATGCACACACTGTTATAACATGCCTTGAACTTTGACCCTCTCCCTCATGTATCTGTCGCATACCGTAGTGCAAATTTTAAAGTTAAAAGCGATTTGGAACACAGCAGATCTTAATGTTGCCACTTAACGCTGTTTGCCGAACCAGAGACGGAGGTCAACCCACAGAGCTCTGCTGCTGTTACTTTGCAGTGTATGAAGTTTTAACTTCAAGTTTGCAGATTGTTTGTGATTGATTACAGTCGTTGCGTCTTCTGTCAGCTGTCAATGAGCTGTCATCTATTTGCGGCTCAGTCGATTTGACATATCCCCCTGCGCAGAGGACTGTGGGTCAGAGTAGCCAGAAAAGCATTCTGCTGCAGAATGTGCCCGGATGCATTAGAGCATCCTGGTATCTTGGCATACTGCATTTGACATACTGTTTATTGGAACATACGAAAGCTTACTCTGGCATACTAAATAGTATAGTAGTATGAGTAATGGAAAGCACCAACTCTGTGTGTTTGAAGCAGACTAAAGAGCCGCCTTCAGACCGACTCCAGCCCTGCGTGAAAACAAACGGCCCCCTTGAGGCCAGTCTGACAAAGCAGAGGGAAACAGCAAGAGAAGCTGTCTGCAGTGCACATTCCTGGTAGATTTCTTTGTAATTCGAATGCCATATTTTTACTGCTTACCTTGCAATTGTTGCAACCACAGATTATCTAATGAGCCTTCAGAGTTACAGATCTGTTACTTAAAGCTGTAGCCGGTAACTTTTATTAAAAATAACCTTTTTTCGTATTTGCTAAAAATGTCTGTGTATTCACACAGCACCAAATGAGAAAGATAATCTGTGAAAAACATCATATTCCTCTGCCTACTGTATTTTCTTGCAGTGCCTCTAAAGGCCTTACTGCAGGTGAATGGAGGAATCTCTAACACAGCTGTCAGTCATGTCGAACTGTCAAACGAGGCAGTGCTGATCAGATAGGAATCAAGATTCTGTCACTGCGTTGCCTGTTCCTCTCCTCAAATGTTTTTAGAAGCGTATTTTAGTGTACTGTTTTGCTGTAAATGAGAAAGTTGGTCTGGCTGGTGGGTGGTGTTTGGTTCCTCAGTAGCCTGTATCCAGCAGAGGGGCCAGGTCACAAACTTTCTAATTTTGTTTCTGCTGTGCTGGCATCTGATTCTAGCGAATTCCATTAGAGGCAGTAGTAGGGGAGAAGGGCACTTTTGACACTTGAGTCAAAAAACTTTATTTCCCTTTGTAGTATGATATTTGGCAGTATGGCTCTGTTCTGGGGCCTCTTTGCCTTTCTTAGGCCTACACAGAAAGCCTCTTCCATGTGCCTACATAAAAAACCTAAGGCAGAGATAGCACACCTTTCTGCCCTTCCATGTGCAAACAAGGAAGGCCTGAGGCAGAGAGAGCAAACCTCCCTACCCTTCCATGCACCTACATGGAAAGCCTAAGGCAGGGACAGCAGCAGCAAAGACACCCCAGGAACAGAGCATCACTAGCATCAATGACAAACAGAAATGACATTGATAAGTCAGACACAGCATGAAAAGGAGGAGCTGGGGTGGAGGTGGGTTGCAAAGCAGCTTGCAGAGGAAGCAGCAACAGTAGGCAGGCTGGAGCAGTTTAAATAGGGCACACTGAATGAGATTGGCCAATTGGTTGCACAGAAAGAAATCATGTAATCTATCAGCTGCTCCATCAGTCGATTGGCTGTTTGAGATCAGCTGATGTCCTGCCTGAACTAACACTATGCTCAATTTCTTTCAAAATATAGTGACAGTGTCAGCAAATATGACAAAAAGTTATTTTAATAAAAGTCACCAGCTGTAGCTTTAAATTGGACTTTCTGGATTGTATTTCACATCTCGTGTACCTAAAGCAACACATTTAGCAAAGCCTTGTCTTTAGCTAACACGACCATCTGCTAAGAGTCTACAGCCATGCTAGCAGCTCTTTGAGACTGTGCTTTGAGCTAAATGCTAACGTCAGCAAGCAAACAGTAACAATATTTACCATGTTCACCAACTCAGTTTAGTGTGTTAGCATGCTAACATTTGCTAATGTTAAAAAAAAAAAAGTACAGCTGAGGCTGATGGGAGTGTGTTCCAGGTTTTTTGCAGGAATTTGGTCATAACCCAAAGTACTGGACAAAAGTTTAAGATGATGGTGGCACTAGACTAAAAGTCAGAGGATCACCAAAGTTAATACAATTAATCCTGAATGTTAGCACCAAATTTAATGACATTCAGTCCTATGATTTCTAAGACATTTCACACAAATGTCAACCTCATGCTGGCATTAGAAGAAAAGTCAGTGGATCACCAAAGTCAATAGGATTTACCTTTTGAGACACATGAATGTCTGTACTGAACTTCATGGCAATTTATCTGACAGTGGTCAACTGAATGACAGACAAACATTTCCCTCCATAGAGCCACAGAGGCCAAATGGCCCATAAAAATGACCAAAATCTGGTCTTTCCAAAATTCTCCTGACAAACAAATTTAACCAAAAACATAACTTCCGTGGTGGAAGTAATGAACTGACACTTTGCAGGCCTTTCTAGTAAAGTCAGTGCACAAGGCATCAACTTCCATCTTCATCTGCTTTGAATGAGCTCATCCACTGCTCCGCTCAGACCTCTGGAGAACCACTAGCAACCAAACTTAGCTCCTCACTTCATATCCCCCTCAGGTCATCGCTTCCTCACTTTCTTCAGCTCATAAAACTGAATCCTGTTCACCTCTACAACATTACGAGATGATGCTGTTCAGGCCGATCGGAAAAAGATGTGCTGTTATTGCCCTTTTGTTTTGAGAGGCAGCAAATACAAGGGCACCAAAATTATGTGAGGATTTTTTTCTCTTTCCATGAATAACCAGTTTTTGTGTGGGCATATTACTTATTTCCATACTATTTTTCTGCACTTTATCTCATCTCTTCCCGTACAGATAATCAAATTAAAGGCCTAATCTAAGCTCTATAATCAATAAAGAGTATCTGTCACTTGGAATTATCTGTTGTAGATGGTTAAAGTTGCTTACACATTCTAAATAGAATAATGTTAAAGCTGGGGTAGGCAGTTTTATTTTGGCGTCATTCTGCAAAAATCTCTAGATAAACTTTGAGCATATTGTAATTCAGGTGGACTGAGAAAAAACTAGACTCCTGGACCTCTGCTTGGCTCTACTTTCAGGCTGTAGATAATCTGTGATGGGAGACTTCTGGCAAAACCTGATTCACTGGCAGAGAGTCCTTCAAAGAATTTTGCTCTTTCAGCATTAACAATTGTCTACACTGCAAAGCAACTCAAAAAAGGAAGATGGACATATCAAAAAGAGTCTAAAAAAAGTCTGACAATAAACAAAATAAAATCTATCAATATCTGTGAAGACTTTCAGAGATGGAGAGAAAATGTGTGCGGATACAGGCTCACAGCTGCTGCTTCAAAATCACAATAATGTAGCTAATGTTACCTAGAGCCTAGCCTAGTGTGTCCTCCGCCTTATTCCTACCTTTGTGGGGGGAGAGTGAGCAGCAGCTCCCCAGACGGACCCCAGTCAGCGGCTGTAGCAAGCAGTGCAAACCCCAACTCCGAGGGACCAGACAGCCCGCTGGATCAGCAAACTTTCTGTTGCTGCTGTTACACCCAGCGCTGGGGGCTCATGCTGGTCAAATTCAAGCTGCTACAGCTGCTGACCAGAGGTCTGTCTCCCAAACTGCTGCCCGATTTCCTCTAAGGGTACTTTCACAACTACCCCGTTTGGTTTGGTTCAATCGCACTCAAGTTTTCCCCCTAAGTGCGGTTCGTTTGGGCAGGTGTGAACACAGCAATCACACTCAGATGCGCACCAAAACACCCAGATCGAGACCTTCTTGGAGAGGTGGTCTCAGTCCGGTTACAAACGAACTCTGGTGAGGTTCGTTTGTGGTGAGAACGTGTTCCGACCTGGATCTGAACCAACTGCAGTCACATGACACATTGTTTGGGTTAAACATGAGCATGTTACAGTCCTGGAGGATTATTGATGTGCACCTCCTCCTGTACTGCCTTAATATGCACATTCAGCACATCCAATGAATCAAAACATTGTTTTCTAGTTGGAGCCGCGCCTCGTTTTCAAACTGTATGGTTTGACTAAAATGAACAATGACAGCAATATAGTCCACGATGAGCAGCGCTAAAATCAACCTGTGTAGTTGTCCCTCCATTGTGACATTAGAAAGTGTCACATTTATCTTGCCAGTGTACTCTTATTCAACATTTTGTTTACTTCCTGGATTTTTCCCACATGGAAACTCTGACCAATCAAGAGCAGCTTTCTCACACAAGACATTTGATCTGGTCCGCTTATAAATGCTGCCTGAACTTTGTAACAAAATCAGTCCCTGATTCGGACTAAAGCAAGACAACTCTAGGTCTGAAAGCACCCTAAAGCAGTCCACAGCGGTGGGGAGCAAGGCGGAGGGACAGTGGGGGGTCTAGCTAAGTAATTTTTGTCTGATTTGTTGTCTGATAAACAGAGCAAGAGCCAGGGGAGGGGCTGAGCGTGCTACTCCACTATGAAATAAGATTAAATTAATGATTACTGTGTGAATCACGTGCATATACTCGTGGTCGTCTGATGGGATGTGCTTAGGATAGAGAGAGGTGAGCTGTGAGAGTGCACCTTGTCCTTGTGTTAAAATGTTTCTTGTCAAACTACTGAACTGTATCCAACTGTTTTGTAAACTTTTAAATCATTAGATAAAAAAAATAGTCCCTCTACCAACCTTTGGAAATGCCGGGACATTGAAAGCGTCCACATTTCTCCGGGGCAACTTTGTACTGTGAGGGTGTGGTGGAGGAGGGGCAGGATGTGACGGTGGGGCGTGTCTTGGAGGTGGCACTGGCGGCTCCCCCATATCCGTCCCGCTGTCCCTCTTCTGGGGAGCCTTGTCGGCCTTCCTCAGCTTCCTAACACAGGCGTACTCGGCCGTCTCTGGAGGATGAGGGGGAGACATGACCTGAGCCTCAGGTTCGGGTAGCCCTCCTTCTACGTCGCCGTCTGGGTCTGGGGGCGCCGGGGTGTTGGCGGGTACGGCCGGAGGGGCCGGGGTGTCCGTCTGCCCGGCCCTGCCTACCATGGCGTACAGGGCATCATCAGTACGTGTGGTGGAAGAGCTTCGGCCCACTTCAGAGTAAGTGTGCTCTCCGTCCTCTCCAGTCCCAGAGGGGATCTGGGGAAGCTGCCTGCCTTGAGAACGAAGGTCAGAGTTAGACCTGCTGGGCAGAAGGTCCACACTGGCTGGACCTTTCTTTTTAGATGCCTCTGAAAGGCATATACAGGCCATCACCCACCATGAAACAGAACTCACACACATTTACTCCTCTTGTTCTGGACAAACATTTGTGAACATGAATAAATCCCTCGCTGGTACAGAGAGACAATCTGGAGCTGACAGTAAACTGGGAGCTGACGTAGATGTTTAAGAAAACGCGTCCAAATTGACTTCATTCCACTGCAGTGGAAGCAGGACAAATATGAAGCAGGACATATGCTTATATTTCTTCAAACCCTCTCAGGCTACTGTCACTGTGCCCACAAACACAGTTCCCTGTTGACTGTCAGTGATGGAGCTCCAGGACTCGTCTTGGCTCTCTGATTTCTGTCTTTGAGAGAGAGAAAGATGCATGTTCAGAAATCAGGACTGAACAGTCGAGTGGAATAAGGCTGAGTTCAGTAAATGCAATGTGAATTCTGTTTCAGGGTAAACTGCATCAGGGCTTTGCACGAATTTAGGGTCAGATCAGATACGGAGCACGTGGAGGAGAGTGTGCAGTGACAAATGTTTAACATTTACCTAAATATTTATTTGCATTTTTCTGGGGGTAGCTACTGTTTTTGTGGACTTCAAGGCTGGCAATAATGAGGGAGGATGAGCCAAATCAGAACATGCTACGGTAACTTGTCATGCTATTTATCTGATAAATTCACCAATTGATTTTCCATGTTAGGCCATCTCATGGACTCCAATGATTCTGTTGTATCTCCATTGTTTTTTGATTTTCATGCTTTCAAATGTGGTGATAAATGACATGCTTGCAGTGGTGGATGAAAACATAAAATACATTTACTCATGCGCTGTACTCAAAGAAATACTTCATCTGCAAAATGGCCGTTTGTATATCAGGTTCTTACCCTGTGTAACCTTGAGTTCACAAAGAAAACTTTGTTTTTATCGTTTGGCTCCACAGTGAATGGCCTTATGCATTATAGATGTGATCTTCATAGAAAGTGTTTTGATATTTCAAGACCATTTTGCTGATAATATTTATGTACTTTTACTTAAGTTGCATTTTAAATTCAGTACTTGTAATATTTATGATACTTCTTTTGTTTCAGTAAAGGATCTGAGTACCTCCTCCACCACTGCATGTCTGTGTGTTTGAGAACGTTCCCCTTTAATGATGCCAAAACTGCTTTGTCATGCAGCTAAAACAAGACCAGACGGTTTGGTTCCATGGAGGAGTTTTTCACCAGACGACAGAGAGAGGTACCGTTCACAGAGCACAGGTCAGGATACGTATGTGAAGGATGCACTCACTTTTGCCATTGCAGTTCATCTTGTTCATCTCAGTGTCAGATTTACTGATGGACCGCAGCTTCGACTGCCTGAGTATACCCTGACAACATACACACACACACACACACACACACACACACACACAGAGGGCCAGTTAAACTCTAATTAAGACTGAAGAGGTGTCCTCTGAATGATATTGTTCTCTGGTGAATTAAGTTGCTCCAGCTACCTCAGCTGTAGCACAAACAAAACATCAAGCAGCGTGTTGCCTGATACCTACCATGTCCATGAGACGGTGTTTTCCACCCTCGCCGGGAACATTGTGTGTCTTCCCCTTCCTGTAAACACAACCGCTCTGTCACACAGGTTGACACTTACTACAGCGATGCGCTTCAGTGTGTGTGTGTGTGTGTGTGTGTGTGTGTGTCTCTGTGTGCAGAGTTTGAGTCACTGTCCATGTCTGCCTGAGTCATCTTCTGACTCTGCACGTGTGTGTGTGTGTGTGTGTGTGTGTGAGAGAGAAAGAGACAGAAGAGTGTGTGTGCCAGTGGTGGTACATTTACTCAAGTAATGTATTTCAGTACAATTTTGAAGTACTTTAATTTTGACTTAAGTATTTCCATCTTATGCGACTTCATACTTTTACTTCACCTCATTTATTTGACAACATTAGATACTTTGAAAAATTCAAATTATTATCACAAAATATGAATCAACAAATACATTTTGATATATTTTTATAGATGGACTTAATCAGCAGTATATAAAGTAATTAAAATTAGCCCGACCTTTTCCAGCATGTACACATTAATACATCAATATTTATAACCCAGTAATAAAATACTGAATATGATTATGGATAAGTAAGTATAGTAAGATTTTAAATGCAGGACTCATAACAAAGAATTTCTACACTGTGGTATAACTACTTTACTGAAAGGGGCAGTTCACCCCAAATTCAAAAATATATAATTTGTTTTGGTGTGAGTTGCAGAGTGTTGGAGATATCAGCCGTAGAGATGTCTGCCTTCTCTCCAATATAATGGAACTAGATGACACTCAGCTTGTGGTGCTCAAAGTGCCAAAAAATTCATTTGATAATTCAACAGCAATGTCTCTTTCAAGAAATCATGACCCGGTTGCTCAAGATAATCCACGGACCTTGTTGTGAGCAGTTTCATGTAGGAACTATTTTCTTTCTACCAAACTACACCTACTACATGAAATTAGAGAAAAATCATTTATTGTGTTAATCCGAGTAAATACGGACTTTTAAAATACATGTAAACATGTTAGTCCGTCTGAAATTGTACTAAATCGAATTTCTCAAAGTCAAATTAACACACCCTGATAATGCATTTGGGAGTTGAGTTACCCCTGCATGTATACAGTCAATCAGACCCCAACTGGCCAAGGTGCTCAACACATGCTCCACAGTATCTGCCCCGGGCTTTGACCCAGAAACTTAAAGTATTAAATGTGTAGCAGAAGAAGAAGCCAGTAACAACATGGCAAAATCTTCATGTAGAGCCGTGAATTTTTGGAAGGACAAAACGTACTGCTGTAAAGTTGTCCATCAACCACAAAAAGGTCCAATCCTAACTGAAAGCTGAAAGGGGGCATACTGCCACCTATTGTAGCGGAGTCAGACATACTTTGGTTGATAAATCAATTCCCTTCCTGTGCTTGTATACAAGGACAGTAGTCCAATTAAATGGCCTAGTCGAGCTATAACTGTAGCTTGATGTTTTGTGTTTTTTTTTGGCACTTTGAGCGCACCACAAGCCAAGTGCCATGTAGTTGCATTATACTGGAAAAAAGGCAGACATCTACAGCCAATATCTCCAACACTCTGCAACTCACACCAAAGCAGTCTAGACTGATAAACAGCACTACAGGTAAGGTGTCCCTTTAGGTTAAAGCTCTGAGTCCTTCTTCTTCTAGTCACAGAGGACATTTTACTGCAGTTCCTTTCCTTTATGTAGATACTTTAAGTACATGTAGCTAATAACACATCTGAACTTTTACTTAAGGAGGACGTTTGTTTGTAGTCGAGTATTTTACATTGATGTATTGCTACTTTTACTTAAAGGGGAATTTATTCCTGAGGTGTAAGGCAGTCCAAAAATATTACAAAACATAAAAAACTCTCTCCTGAATCCAAAAACTAGAGTGCTAAAACTCAAATTTGTGATGTCATCAAGTATAAAGTCTGGAGCTGCTCCATAGACAATGAATGGTGAAGGATGTTATAGATGACACTGAGAGCACCCAGGGGAATGTTCTGAGTATAAGGGTACACATACCCATTCATTGTCTATGGAGCAGCTCCAGACTTTATGCCCTATGACATCACAATGTTGAGACTTACTTCTTTGATTTCTGGCTTTAAGAGAGAGAAGCTCATGTTTACAGCAACACATTGTCACTCCGACCTCGTCACATATTGACATTTGGTCATGGACCTTCCACATCCACATACGACGTAAAAGGTACCCTGGGTGTTGGTCGCTGACGTTCTGAGATGTGAAGTTCTGCCTGTTACATGCATTGCCTTCTTTCAAAATACACTTCTGTTTTCACAGGAAATTTACATACAGTCTCTTTCAAAATAAACTCACTACGTCGGTTCAACACTCCAAATTGATGTTATTTTTCCTCCAACATCTAATGCAGGTGGTTAGGTTTAGGAAAAAAGAACAGGGTTTGGGTTTATAATCTTACGGGATGTGAACACAGCTTCACAGGATGGAAGTCGGTGTTTCTTGGACCCATCCACCACTGCTCCCACCCACCCTACTTGGACTTTTGCCGCCATATCATTTGTTCTTGTCCCACCGTGTTTCCCTGTTGACGCCGGTCACGTATCATGCCAGCGTTAAAGGACTGCTTTTTTTCATCAGTGTCTGATGCCTAAAGTCACTGCCCAAGAGCCGGATCTGACGACTTCGGAGTGAGACCATGTGGTTTACAAATATTGGAATTCTCAATTTATTTGTTGATCTCCTGTAAGTAAAGGATCCCAGCACTTCTTCCACCACTGGTGTGTGCATGAGCGTATGTGTGTACGTGTGTGTTTGTGGTCATGTGTGCACGGCGCCTCACCTCTGGCAGCCCACGCAGAGCACCACGATGAGGATCGTGACAACAAAGGCTGAGGCAGCAGCGATAGCACCCAGCAGCAGGACCTTGCCGTAGGGAGGAGCCGTGAAGTTCAGCCCGTCCTGCATGGAGGCCATGTGGGAGCGCTGACGCTCACTTGCTCTCACACACACTCACACTCACACCCTTACAACTCATCCACGCAGGGAAGTGCCACGGTCTCACTGGGATCTGCAGCGAGAAGGCACAGAGTGGCGCTTAATTACAAAATTATCTAACCCTTTACAAAACATTAGGCAGGTTAACAAAGCAGCAGAACCAGAAGTAAAATATTCACAGTAAACGGAAGCAGCAGTTTGAGGAGAGGGAGAGTGAGAATTCCCGTCCAGCGCTGAAGCAGTGAAGTGAACAGACATTACGCCTCCGGCATGTGCTTCTGCTTTACCTTGTTGGGGGGATTACTGAGCTTTGTGTGTCACACTTACATAGACATCAACAGCATACCTGCAGAGATTTTCAGTTATCTGGGTCTGCATAGCATAAAAGTGAGCTGGTAAAGTAATCCAACGATCATACATTTAATTCTCTGCTTTATAAACCAGACATAAATCATCTCAACACTCAGTCGACTGCCGATCTGTTTGCCAGGTAGCTGCTGCCATGCATATGTGTATATTTCTGATGGTTTCAACCATTCAAACAAGAACAAACATACATATTGAGAAGGTACGATGAGTCACAGCCAAAGATGAACATGCCAGCAGGCAGAGTAACCTGAAACACTGACGGAGACAAGTCTGAAAGCACCGCGAGCAGACAGAAACATCTTTCCTGCTTCTCCTCCGCTCCTCTCTGCTTGCCAGACGATTTCACGTTTTGGCAGCGTAATATGTTTCAAATAAACAATAAAAAAATAAAGAAAGAAAACACACGGAGCCATAACAAAAAGACCAAACAACAAGCCTGTTCTAATCTCTGTCAAATCATGCCATCTGTCTGCTGTGACTGTGTGTTTTCATGTGTGTTTATTTGTCGCTCGTCCATCAGCAACAACACCAGTGAGCGGCAGACTGCAGGAAACATACCGCCTGGTTTTGTCCAAAAGTCTTGTTGTTGTTGGGATGATGATACTTAACTGTCTGTGTATGTCTGTCCAAATGTCTCTCGTGTATTTGTTCAGTTTATAACGACAGATTTTCTTCCAAGCAAAACACTCCATGGTGGATCTTGTACTTTTAGACTTCTTCAATCCTCCTCACTATAACGATCAAATCTGATGCTGTAGTGTTATATATTCCACACAGATCCTCCTCTGTCCACACAGACTATAATCCTCACAGTTTAAATTACTTTAACAACTTGTCTGTAGTCTGAAAAATGTGTATCTTCTCTGAAGGTCTGCCAAAACCTTGGACACCTCAAGACTGCTGCCCTTTTTTTTCCGGCTCAGATAATTTATCTTTAGCACTGCAGTAGGGGTCTATCAAACATAGTGAGGTCTTATAAGGATTCAAGCAACCCAAGCTCGTTCTTGCCTCTTCATCTCTGAATCATCAGTTCATGACCTCCTAATTTGGTTAAACTTAATTTGGGGTTCATTATGCTTCAACCCAGACAGATATTACCCACTTAAACTGCACAAATATTATTCCAATCGGCCGGATTGTTGCACACCAGGAGTGTCAAACTCATTTAAGTCCATGGGCCACATTACAGCCCATTTTGATCTGAATTGGGCCGGACCAGCCTGTAAATAACAAAGCCTTCAAATCCCTCTCTTTTACTGTAAAGAAGAAACATTACGAGTAGCTTTACATTCTGAAAAGTCCCGTTTCCACCAAACACTTGCGGTATGGTACCTTTGGAGCCAAGAGTAACCCTTCAGACATGGTACCTAGACCCTGGTGTTTCCACTGCAAACAGTACTTTAAATGTGGGCGGGGTTGTTGTCACTCACTGCTCCGTCCAGCACTCACTGTGTTTCCTCATCACTGGTGACACAGAGGGAAGTCTGCACCTCGTTTATCGTCTACAGAACGAGGCTGCATGCCATCATTTTTAGAACAAAATAAAACAGGCTGCAGTGAGCGTCTCTCTCCATGGGACATTTAAAAATAGTGGGTTTGTGCATTTAGTCCTTCCAAGGCAAGCTCAGGGGTTTAGTGTTGCTGTAGCTCACAGGACCAATGCTCTGCGATGCATTTTTTCTCTGAGTGAGAATTAGAATATATGCAGTTCACATAACCTGGTCGAAATTAATATATATAAACACTTGAAGATCCACTTATTACTAAAAGTGTGTGTCGTATAAAAACTAAAGTGATGGCCAAAGTTCTTAAAGTGAAATTAAAGGTGTGTTGATTGATTCACGCCATCACCTCATGCATTGAGTAACATCATAAGTTAACGTTCCACCTTAAAAGTTGCCGGCAGTCGGCCCAGTGAATGAAGTTATTTTTTCCAGCTGCTGTGAGAGGCAGCAAAACATCCTTTCATTTTATAGTTACAGTCTACTAATAAAACTCTCCACAGTATGAACAGTGGTTACATGAGCCTCAAAACCAGCCACAACTCAGCCCTGAGCAGAGTGACCGTCCTCTATTGACCAATCAGACTGCATTGTTCACAGCTCCACCTTTTAGTACGAGGTGCCATGCTAGGTACCCCAACAGAGGGGGGGCCAAAAATGGGGACCGGTTCCATTGGTACCATCCACAACTTTTCACTGTGGAAATGGGAAGAAAGCGTACCGAACTGAACCGAACTGTACCGTACTGCTCGGTGGAAACGGGGCTAAACTGTTCAAAATTAATTAACAACCCATTTACAAAACAAATGATGAACAGACTGAGATGAAGGCTGAAGGATGAAAAAAAGATAATTTCAACAATATGTCTCTTTTTCAGCAAACTCATCCTCAGAGTATGACTTTGGTGCTGATGCTATTTTGTGCTTTTATGTTTCCTCAGATCTGCCAACAATTAATTTATCTTCTCTGTTCTTAGTTGTCGTTGCAAGATGTTGTATTTTTTGCCTTAATGAGTTTGATAGTGGTGCTGAATATAATATTCTTTGAGTATACCAAGCACACTGGCTTCCTAGTTACCTCTGAGAGGAAACAGAAACTGGTTCATTTAGCATTATATGTAATTGGAAAAATTGGAATTAATGACTTCTCTGCCATTTTTACACTCAGCGAAGTCATTGAGTGGGCTAGTTTGGACCCTTTGGTTGTCTGGTTCTGGCCCAGAGGCCATATGTTTGACACTCATATTGTACACATTCAAGAACGTAGGTTTTTTTCCAACAGTGGGGGGGGGGGGGGGGGGCACATATGAAACAGGGGGTTTGGGGGTCCTCTGCAAGAACATCTTAATCGTCAAACACTTAATTTCTTGCTCTCTGGGGAGTTTTCATGCTCCAATTTGTGTATTTTCTGCAGCGTCTTATGTTGTAAATGTCTTTAATTTTGTCAAAACAAAATCCCTCTGCTACTTTTATGTTTTATTTGGAGGGACAAATTCATATGTTAAGTACTGAAGGGGAAGTTTTCCCTACATCCTTCCAAAATCTATACCTATGCACCTTTATTCACATATTCCTTGACTATAGTCAGGTCTGCTCATTTAGGCAATGCCCAGACCAGTTATGCAGAACCTACTTTTGCTATTTAGTCCATTTTCTGTCACCCAAGTGTGGACATATACATATATCTGTAAATATATGTTATCATAAAAAATTCTCTGGAGTCTGAAAGTGTTTGGGCCCACAGTATGTTTTGTGCACCATCCTCACAGAAATAAACCCTTCTGTCCGTCTCGCCAATATATTCTCCACATCTTGCCAAGACTGGCTGCGTGCGCTCTATGCCCAGCAGATTTGCCTAAATCTGGCACACATCTGACCAAATGTAGCACTGTTTTCCTGTTTTTGATTTTACAAAACAGCCATTTTCTGACATTCCTCCTGCACCATCTCCTCCATATGTGACATGCATCATCTCTGGACTTCCATGACTTAAAAAAAAAGAGGAAAAGAAAAACCCAGCATACATCATTAGACACATTTTTACTGTTCTGACCATCCAGACTGTATGATGAATCTACAGCCATGCTAGCTGCTCTGTGACGCTGTACTTAGACACAGTGTTGCTTTGAGCTAAACGCTAACGTCAGTCATGCCCCTGTGAGGAAGAAAGCTGAGGCTCTGTCTTCATCTGTGCAGTGCTGCCTCTGATACAAACACTGCCTGACACTATTCACAGCAAATTAAAATAATAATTTCTTGTGATCACGTGATTCACATTCTGTCCTGCAGCTTTGAAACAACTACAGAGATGCTGAAGATAAAAAGATAAATCTCACTCACTAAAATTACACTAACCACTCAGACTGTTGCACACATCTTTATGTTTAATCCATATACGAGTACAGCCAGGTATGCAGATTGAGGCCACACCCATTCTCACCTGCCTGGGTGGGCGTGTTGATGTCTGTGATTGACTGCAGCTTGCACTGACAGGAAGACAGTGAGGACCACACCACCATCCAACCACGCTGAGGTGAAATCTAAGGTACGTTTACATGCTGTTAAAATGTGCTGCAGCTGTGCAGTTAATTATCTATGTAGCCGTCTTGGCATTAGCTGAGCACATTTCCCCGGTGAATATTTGTTTTGTGGCTCACATGCTGAGGTGCAGGACAAAGATGCATGTTCATGTTGTGCTTAAAGTAAGAATGAGACTGTAGCTGGGAAGCTAACGTAGGCTGTTGTTCTGAGTTTGTGGCTCTTGTGTTGTGAAGAATGACATTTCTGCATTATGCTGGTTTGCTTGGCTGATGCAAAATAAGTTCTTCATCTATGGATAGATAACGGACTCTGTTGGACTGATGCAAAACTACAGTGTTGTTAAAGTCCCCCTCTAACATATTTTAAAGTATGTAAAAAATACTGTGCTATGATAAATATTTTGTTTACATGGACCTCCCACATTATAAGTTAAAAAAAAACAAGTTGCTGGAAGCAGATCTGTTCATTCTCCCCAGGCCCTTAGGACATGTGCCAGGCTTTGGAGGATAATTTTTGGACTACCAAGTCTGTCATGTGATACACTGAGATGGCTAAAGAGACATCTGTAAATCAGTGGATACATTTTTTTGAACGTCACAACCCCTGCAAAATGACTCCTATGATCTGTTTGGTCTGATTACATTTGAAAAGTCTACAAAAAG